CTGATTTTGTTTTGTCTAAAGTTTGTTGTTATATTTTTAAAAAAATCATATTTTTTTACTATAGGTAGTGTTTGGTTGTAACCCATATATATGCAGGATAGCATGTCTGGCATACATCTTAGTATGAATAAAAAAACAAACATCAGTACTTTTACATACACATGTTTTGACTTTTGAATACTATTTTTGTATACCATAACCACTTATGAATTTAGCAATAATGTACATGATTGTAAGTGGTTATAACTTGGACCTGTAAATGTTATAACACTTATAACTCACCTCATAAGTTCTAGCAAATGTTATAAGCCCACGGTTCATCCCAGTAGACACACGGCCAAATCCGCCCGCACCGAAGGTGCTGAGGCGTTTTATAGGGCACACGAGATTCCGTTAGTATCGTCAGTATACTATAGCTTTAGCTAGGGGGGGGGGATTTTTGCTCTAGAATCCTGTGTTTTTTCACGTTTTTGGAACCGGCTTAAAGTGCTTTCGTGCTAATGTTGGGTATCTTGAAGACTTTAGGGATGCAAGAAATGCAAGTTTCTGCTTTGCATCATCTGCATCATCTGAATCATCTGAGCGGCACACTCTCTAACGGACATGTCTGCGAGATAGGGACTTGAACGTCCGGGTACGTGGGTGGTCAGGAGCAGAGATAAGCAGGTCAGGTCCAGGAAGGGTAACATTATCTCCCGAGCATAGCTCCTATATGGTCGAACATAACTCCAGAAGTCCCTATCTTAAGTACGCTTCCTCGAGATAGGTACTTGAACGTCGTAAACATGGTCTAATGAAGGCTCCCCAGGGACTGGAATAGCGTGAAGATATTGTCTGACCGAGCGCTCGAAGGCGCTATCGAAAGGACGCGTCTGCGAGATAGGGACTTGAACGTCGTAAACTGGTACGCAACATCGCCCTCGAAGTCCCTATCAATGGACATGTCTGCGCGATAGGGACTAGAACATCGGGGAACGTGGCTGCTCCGGAGCCGAGATAAGCAGGTCAGGTCCCGGAACGGGCACGTAAGATAACCCTAGAAGTCACTATCCAACGGACATGTCTGCGAGATAGGGACTGAGCGGTACGTAACATAACCCTAGAAGTCACTATCTAACGGACATGTCTACGAGATAAGGAGTTGAACGTCCGGGTACGTGGGTGGTCAGGAGCAGAGATAAGCAGGAACGGGTACGCCCTGCCAAGACCGAGCTGTTTCCGACAGAAGAACCTACGTCAAATGTTTTGATGTTTCGGTTCGGGAGGCACTGAAGCACCTTTGCAAGTGAAGCAGATTCGAGGTTTCCAGCCCCACTTGAAGCGTTTCTGTTCGGTAATTTCTTTGGCAATCACTGGCTCAAAGTCACGCAAAGACAAATTGCGCCGATCACACGAACTGCACGGCTTTCCCGCCCACTTCTGGAACTCTGCTTGTGGCAGGGCACATGTGTGGCACAAAATGGCAACAAACGAATTTCCGACGCAATCCTTTAGTGTGCGAGTGCTGATCTGATCGTGAGGCCAGGTACGGTTGCAGCTGCGGCAAGTGTACAGTCTGTCTTGACAGGTCGCACAAAACCACATGCGCGGTTTCGTCAACGGGCCCAGCGACGGCGCAGAGGTCCGTTGTCCGCATCCAGTCCAGCACACAGAAAAGCACAATCTGTGCAAACTATCCATGGTTGAGTCTTGCCGTCTGCAGAGCATTTGCAACGCCCACGCAAGCGTGGGTCGCCAACATTTCACGAGCCAATGGAGGAGGGAAATGGCAAAGGGTCAAGGTGTCTCGCTGGCAGAGGCGGCAGCGCAAGTTTTTACATTTGACAAACCTGGCTGCCCGGTCGTCTTTGAGCACGCAGGTCCAACAACGCAACGTCAGAAGATTTGTTTCAGCGTTCAACTTGATTTCCTCGATGGGAAAATAACTATCGGGCCAAGTTGTCCAGCACTGCGTGCACAACGCCGTTGACGGCGTCTGCTGTTTCCTCTTTGATGAAGAAAGCACTTGCTCTTTGTTGGTTCTGCTGCCTGAACCTTATGTTGTGTGCAAAGCATGGCCGCATCCAACGCCCCAGTGTCCCACTTTTTTTGCATCTCTCCTGAGAAGCGGCTGCGACGAAGGAGGTCGCCACATTCGCCACACATCATCAAACGTGTGTCCTTTGGAGCCCTTGTGCTGTGATAACAACGATAACACTGCAGACGCTGCCCTTCTGAAATCTTAGACCAGATTGCCGTTTGCGTGATGTCTGCCGTAAAACAACGAAGCGGCCAGCGCACTTCCTGTTGGGCGCGTTCTGAACATGCTCGACAGGGCACTTCCCACAGTGTCCAAGGCGGGCAAGCAACTTTATTTTTTTCTTCTCCTTTGGGCCCACCACGGGCGTAGCAGCCCGCCAAGCTTCTTCTAGCGTTGCTCGGTCGAGGGTACCCGCGTAACGAGGCAGACAACATGAACACAAGTATTAGATACAATGATACAACACTTGAATCGAAGTTTGATCAGACAACGCGCCTGATTGCCTCGCCAAAAGGAGAGCTGGACCAGGTAGCTTCACTTGTCGAAAAAGTTGGGGGCTATATGGCTGCACCAGTAGTATGTCGTCAGTGGATCGAACTCGAGATCGGATGATGTATGCCCGTAACATGCTCTCTGGCGTTGGCGTAGCCGACCAATGCAAAAGATCTCCCTTACAAGCAGACAGAGTAGACCCACAGAACGCATGAGCTGTTCCGGCAAAGTCGGGCGCGATCTGAAATCCGCGCCGATGGACGTGGGTGCGTCCAACCTTCCAGGTGCGTTTGTACGGACGCAGATCCAACTTGCCTTCCGGCAAGGTCCATCTGACAGCGGCGTGCTCGTTCCATCCTTCACTCGACACCGGCGTGCTCGTTCCATCTGACAGGTCCTGCACTCCAAACGTTGCAAAGCTTTCCAAGGGGATGAGTGCCAAGTAGCGGGCCAACGATTTTGATCCAGGTCCGGTACACATGAGTTCAAGCATGGATCCAACCCTTTGTCAATACATCGGTAAAATGACTTCGACCGACTTTAAAATCCAACCCACATTTTCAACCACCACACCTGACAAAAACCACTGCCGCAAGGAAGCGCAGTAGCACCAGGAAGCCACGATCCAACGTGACGCGTTGGGAGACCATGCGTTAAACAGTATGTTTCCCCAGTGTTCCGACTATCTGCGGGACGTTCGACACCAAGTGCACACTGCCTCGTTGGTACAAATCACTCTCTGGCATCTCAATCCAGGCGCGCACCTGGTGCATTGCACAAACCCAAATCATCTTCAGTTTCCAGTCTCAGTTTCGCTCTTCGCTCATCAACAAAAGGCGGGTGACCTCCACACCACTGCGTTTTGGCTTCACCGTATCCCGAACGACTGCTGGATACGGGCCCCCCCACATCTTCCGACTCCCGGATTGTCTGCTGCAGCTTTTTCTGCAACTGCCCCAAAAGGAGTGTCGCCATACTTTGAGGTGAAGCCCGCACGCCGCCCATAGGAATCCAGCTGGTCTACACCCGAGGCACACTGGTAATCCAGGTTGCCAAGTTCGTTCTTTCCGCCGGCCCCTCCGCCGGGCCCAAAAATTCTGCTATAGACACTCTAAACACTGGGTTTTCTGTCAATGTCAAAAGACCAGGCTCCAAACTCCTCATCTCACGCAGAAACCTAGCAGCGGCCTCCAGCCTCCGCACATGCTGCCGATTGACCCCGGCACACGATTCTCTGCAGCGAACTGCCCCGCCTCCTTTATCTTCGCCAACAGAAGGTCTTGCCGCCCAAGCAGGCTAGCGCATTCCTGCCCGTCTTCCGGAAGTGCGACTTCACCCAAACACACGGCAGCTCACGAGCCGTGGTTCCCGAATCGTTTCGATGAAACGATCCACCCGACAGACCCGCACGGACATAGCCACATCTTGCCGCTCTACTGGGCCCTCACGCAGCCTCACATAGAGAGTCCAGAGCTCTGAAAAAGCAAAACCAGGAAACAGGTCTTGTAGAGGCACACTGCCCACCCGGTGATTGTATGCCACCAATGTCGCCATCGCTTCGCGCTACCCGAACACAATCACTCGGCTCCAAGAGCACAAGTTCCTGCGTCAGCTGATACAAAATCACTCGGCTCCAAGAGCACAAGTTCCTTCGTCAGCACTTACTCAAAAAATTCAAGTATGTAGTTGTCTTTGTCTCTCCCTCCGATACTTGAATGATACTGTTGCCCTACATGCAATGCTTCTTTTTCTCTTGCCTTACCCTCTACCTCAGCTGTGAAGCCCAACTGCATCATTCGCTGCATCCATCTCGCTGGTCTTCTGCCTCTACCCCTCTCGCCTTCTGCAGTACCCACAGCGACTGCCTCGAAAACATGACGACTGCTGCCAGCAACAAGCACAAACAAAACATCTTCCCTACACGTCTTCGCTCCTGAACTGCCTTGCTTCGGCCCATTCCATGCCTGCGGCACAAATACGCAGCCATCCCCCGTTTTCGTGCCATATTTCACGTCTTCAACCGAATCAATCCATGCATCTCGAAATAAACACAACTTCTTGCATCACAGCGTCATCCCACACCCAAATGAGCGGTGGTCGAAACCCTTTAGTCTTGGCCTTATAATCCTTCTTTGCTTACGCGTCGGCTTCCGCAATGCTTACGCTACCAAGGTTTTTGCTTACGCGGTGTGTTTTTTCATCTTGGGGCTTACGCGGTTCTTACGCGTCGAAATCGTTACCAGTGATTAACCACCAGAGCAGTTGAAAGACTCCTTTTTGACACGTGCACGGGTCAAGGTGTAGAGGAGCTTGAGGAAGCAGATGAGTCCGAGGACGAAGAAGACGAGGAGGATGAAGTAGATGGAGGCCCTCGAAGTTGACGGAGCTTACGGCGTTTCTTGGCTGCAGCTTTTCTCAAAGTCAGTGCCTTGCTGGAACATCTCTCCAAAAAAGTTGGCTTGCTTTTCGGCATAGATTTAGATTTCACTGCTTTCTGTTCCCGGAAGCGCCTGGTAATGCTGTTGTCCTGGCCAGGCTCAGGGCCACCTACCTCCCAGGAGCGCACTTTGTCGTAATACCCAATCCTCCATGGTTGAGGTTCGTCAGACACATTTTCAGTAACTGCAAATGCGAGCGCCTTGCCACCATCCATGTCAGAGAAAACTTTGTTCCGTATCTGAACGCCAGAATCTGCATGAGGAGAAAGGCGACCTACAAGGGAATACGTTCGAGACACTTTGAGCTCATCGCTGACGAAGAACTTCCTTCTGGAGGGTCTGCTGGGGCCAGGCGCAAACTCATCGACATAGATCGTCGGGCTTCGGGGATCTTCTCGCATCATTTGCTGGGAGCCTGCTTGGAAGCATTTCAGTAAATCCTTCAGGCCATGTATAGGTTGTTTCTGGATGTAATCCGAGATCCAACGATTACACCAGCCAAAGCAACGGTCGACACCAGATTTTCCATGACACTCGGCGAGCCAGCAGACTTCGACGGACATCTTCAAAGCGCAAGGCAGAGTCACACAAAAATGCGCAACGTTCTCCTTGGAGCGAAAATGCGGTCCACAATCTGCTACTAGCAGCAAATTCTCGACAGCAGCCCAATTGACTATGGGGTTCTGCCGGGCGTGCTGCAAGGAACTGTTGACCATCATGCAACCAGCTTGTGCGTCGTGGTCGAGTATCTCTGTCACGAGGAGGATGAACATTTCAATGTGGCCACCGCCGCGCCTGGGATGGCAAGGCTTGTGCTCAGAAGGACAAGTTTTGGAAACGAAGACGACAGGAAAAGCAGTGACTAAATGAGTCCAAGGCACTTCGGGGCCAGAACATTGGCGCCAAAAACAGTGAGGGACAGTTTGTTTTGGGCGTGCCACTCCTCAGACGTTTCATCCGGCCCCATTGGGTATTTCACATTTTCTTTGAAATCAACCTGCAACATGAGAGTGTCAAATGGAAGGCCGCCCTCTCGCATCTTCTTGAGAAAATTTCCTTGCCGCCGGGCGGAGACTTTGTGCCACTCATATGCCCGAACAAGCTCCACATGCGGCTTCAGCTTATGTATTCCAGAGGCTTCAAGAGAATGCAAAGTAATCCTGCTGGAGCGGGAGAGGCTGGTCCTCATAGGGTCTTGGCTAGAATTGCTTTCCTTCTGTTTGAGGAAGGCTTCAAGCAGCTCCAAGTACTTTACTTCCTCCTTATCCTTGCTGCAGCCCAGCTTCACTGCTTGGGAATGGAAGTCCTCGAAGTACCCGGGCAACAGCTTGCTGATATCAGACCTGATCGCTTCTGTCAACTTCAACGCTGCAGGGAGGATGTCTTTGTCAAAAGTCTTGCAATGGTAGCAGACGTCTGTGTTACGACGAGGGTTGCGAACGTGGGGGAAATGAAGCCGGACAAGCCTTTGAAAAGTTGACCAGGACAATGCCTTATGCAGGGACTCCACCTCAGTCCAAAGCCTGTGCTTTCTCTTGGTGAGGTGCTTGGCTATGACCATTAGTTTCGTACCACGACCTGTAATCACTACACGCTCGCTGTCTATGGTATGCTCCTCTAGGACTTGTCGGACTAATTCCACTTTCTTCTCATCGGTCACAATCGAAGGGCGACCACCAAGGTTCACCTTCTCGGGCACGTCTTTCCGAAGAACTGCTTCTTTACGATACACCGTACCATAGTGCTTCTTTGTCAGGTTGTAGCCATACTGTCCCAGAACTGTGCGGTCTTGGACGCTTTGGACCAAGGCATTGTCGAGCTCGTTGATGGTAATGGAGGGTTTGTGAAACGGCCCCTCAGACGCACGCTCTTCTCGCAAGGCACCCAACGATTCGATGCACTTCAGAGCAGAAGCTGTGGTTTGCAGGTTTGAGCATGCTTGAGAAAGGTTCGGGTACTCACGAGCGATCCTCTGCAGAAAGCGATGGAACAACTGCTGGAAATCCTCTGGTTGGTGGCAGTGCGGCGCAGCGCAAGAAACCAATTCATGGAGAACTTTGCTCTTGTATGGTTCACTTAGTGAAGTCCATTGCTTCTTTTTTGTCAGCCATGGGGACTAAGCCTGCGGAGCAAGGGTGAAACTACGCAATGTGACTATGTGTTTCAAAAGTGCTCTTTCCTTAGGGTTTGTTTCCCTTGGCTTCTTTAGAAAGAACTTTTGGTGGGCGTGGGCAAGTGGCTTCACGTGAGAAATTCGCCTACGCAAACCTTACGCGTCGGCTTACGCGGAGCTTACGCGGAATTCGCGTGGTCTTGGGAAGCCCAAACCCTGCAGACATAGTTTTTGCTACCGTGTCCCAGGAGTGCCTTTGAGAGATTGAATCCCCAACCCTTTGTTGCTAGCAATGTTTCTTAGTTATAATATAAGACTACTAGGAACAAACACCTTTCAACAATAGCTAAGCAAGAGACTACTAGAAACAAAGACCTGTCAACTATAAGGAACAAGTCTGGGAAAAAGTGTTTCTCCTCACTGCCATGCTTGCATGCGTGTGAAGTAAGCAGCACACTTTTCTTTCGGCCAGCTCGGTACAAAGCAACCATCCACGGCGCGTCAAGTTCTGACTAGCCAGGTGAACCCCCACCGCATAGCCCCAGGCGGTGCTCCTGGTTTGGGTCAACACTTATTGATGACCGTCCCCCTACAACTTTTCCAACCTATCCGCAAGTGCCTCAAGCCGAGGGAGGTGCACAAGAACCCGCTCCAGCTGTTTGACCAATTTGCCCAAAGCCTTGTGGTCCAAGGATGGTTTTTTCTCTTTGGGCTCTGCTTCTAGCTGCGCTCTTTCTGCCAAAGACTTTTCCCTAATCTTTGCTTTCAAGGTTTCGTCCTGGAGGATCTCTGAAATTCGCTGGTGCCCAAGAAGCTGTCTAGTCTTTTGGAAGCAGAAGTCGCATGTGGCTCCACGCTGGCTTTGATCCCTCTGATGTTCACACACTTGGCAGCAAAGAGCTTTGGCTTGCTTCCCTCCAAAAGCACCTGGCTTCTCTGGGGTTTCCTGCGCTTCTTCTCGAGCCTTCTTGCCCGGTGTCTGAGCTTCAACCGCAATCTCTGGAGATGGTTCTGGCTTCCTCTTTTTTGTCACTGGTTCCTTTTGGTTTCCCCCTGCAGGTGAAGGAAGGTCTGTAGAAGTAGCTGTGGCATCTTCTATCCCACAAGGTTTTCCCACTTCAGGGGCTGGAGACAGCAAGCTGGACAAGGTAGGGTCATCAATCACCTCAGCTGGAGCTAGTCCCAAAACCAATGCTAGTTCACATGAAACAAAAATAAACCACAAATAGAAAAAGTCTTCGCACTAGCGAAACGCCTCGGCTTTTGAAGAACCTGCCAGATCATGCACCACATCAGCCTTCGCCTCTGCATCAGCAATGGGCACAGCTTCTTTCTGAACAGGCTTGTCTTCACCAGTCATAATGTCAATGGCCCGGCCCTTGAGAGAAGCCTTTCCCCGGCTTGTAAACTCCCAGGCTGCAACCTTTCCCTCCTTGGGCATGACAAGCCATGCTCGGTGGTAGGCTGTGCTCGAGCAATGCAACTGGACATGTCCTGCCACTTCCTTTCGGGCCACGCAACCCATGCAGCCTCGAACTTGGCATTGCTTTGGCAGCTCTGGCTCAATCATGGCCATGGTATGGAATAGAAAGGAAAGGAACCAACACAAGGTTTTACATTGCAAGTGATACCATGCATTCTCCTCATGCATGCATGCAAAAATTGTGTTTAGGGTTGAAAGAGTTCCCCTGCTAGTCCCACCCCCTTTGGCAAGCTTCAGCTGTGAGACCAGGAACCCCTGCTCAAACACATCTCCCTGACACATCCTCCTACGCGACTCTATCTTGGAGCCATGAGCCGATGAAACATATAACATAGATGTATTTCACAAAGTGCGCCAAGATTAGGGATCTGATACTTTGTAAACACAATTATGCAACACATGCAACAAGCAACCTAGTGTCCTCTATTGCTTTCAATGGAAAACACA